CACTTTGAAAGAGTATGAAAATTTTCAGTCAAGTATAAGAGGGTCCATAAAAAAAAATTCTGGCGAAGATACGATTCCGTTTGATTTTTCGGTCATTTGAAACTTTTTAGATTCCCTCTTCAAACTTCACCTTAATACGACTTAGGGCGTGGTGCCATTTTGTAACGCTTGCTTCGCTCTATCGAGTGGTGCACATACACGTTCACTGAGTTTGCCTTGTTGCCATGATGAATGAAAAACGGCAGTTTTTGTTTCCAACCTAATAATTAGAGCATTCGGATTTTTTACAGATTTTTTTTTCGTGACAGTTGAATGTATTGGCTGTGTTATGACCAGCACCGCTCTGTAAAGCTTGCTTTTCTTTAAACAAAATACAGCATTTTTTTGATTTCGTATTGAACAAAACTTTGGTCAATAGTCCTGTAATGATTTTAAATATCTTCGTGATTATTTTCGGTATGCTCAGTTAAAGTACACAAGAACTACAGAGTGTTGGTGTAAGCGGCCAATCCAGCTGAAATATAGAGTGTTTGAAAGCCCTAAAAGTGAAACGGGTCCAAAAAATGTCCGCTTCGATAGGGAGGGGGGGGGGGGCGTGAGAGAATTCAAAAAAGATCGTTTACTTATGTTCAAGATGCGCTTCATTGGGCCTATAGAGCTGTCCTGTTTGAGCGGTAATTCCTTGAATAAAATGGCAAAAACGAATTCGTTTCTCAGATGTTCATTTCGGGACCCGCGCTGATCGAATAGAAGCAGGCTGGACTTCGTTTCTGGGACAAAAGCAAAGCGGGTATCGTTTCCGGAGATTCGAGGCGGAGCCAGGAGAAAGAAGAAGAGAAATTTTTGCACAATTACTAACGAAGTGTTTTGAGGATAACTGCGCATGTAGCGTGCAAGACAATTCAATACACTTCCTGTGGTGCAAAAGCGACAACTCAGTCAAGCACAAGCTTCAAAGACAGGTTATTGCACATGAAAGTGATAGCCTGTCTTGTCCATCGTGTGACCAGGACACAGCACAGGTGGCTTGCAAAGCAAGCTGGATATCGTTTTTTGGGTGAAAAAGCAAAGGAGTTATCGTTTTTGCGGGAAAGCTTAACGCTATCTTTCGATCTACCGCCGGCACGCTGCCGGCATGCCGCCAGGAAATAAACAAAGGGTTTGTTTACAGCGAAGTGGAGATGAATTGGCACCAAAATAGGTGTGTAGATGGGCAATGGCGAGTTGGGACTATGTAAAAATTACGAAAAAATTATGTGAACTGAAGGCTTGCTCAACATTTTTCGAAGTTAGGTGGCTTTTACCTGGAAGCCACCTGAGGTGGCTTGGGAAAAAGTCATAAATTTTCCCTCCCTCACATAATTTTTCTACTATGTTTATGTAATCTACATCTCAACCCCTACAAATTGGTTACTAAACCTCCCCAAACCCCCTTTTTCCCGCTCAGTTATAGCCCCTTGAAAGTTGTGAATCGCAGCGGAAAGGATGCTCTAAACGCGTATTGCTGCGCGCTGGATACATCATATCGCCAATCCGGGGAATATGGATTCATCGCGTGTGTTTGATGCTTTTTTGACGTTTTTTTCTGTTTGCTTTGTTTCGTTCCTTTTATGTATTTTCTCTTCTAATATCTCGTGGCGGATGTCGTAATTTGATTGTCAAGTCAAAGGGGACTTCGTTTTTTGCAATTTCGGGAAGCCACCTCGTGCCGAGCCCTGGTGATAACCCGTCTTTGAAGCGGTGGGTAAAGCGAAAAGCGCGCGCGATTTGGAGGCAAAGCAAAAATTAACAAATTGCCTGTTTACAGTCTAGTGACAAGCATATGACACCAAATTGGAGTGTTTGCATAAAATATCGTTTTATGGAAGATTAACATAAGAAAGGTAGACTTAAGTAAAGTAATAACTTTTCCAAAAGTAGTCTGTTTCCAGACGGCCACCATACGAGATCGTATGGAGCATATATTTTCGTAAGTTCACATAAGTTTTGGATTTTTCTACCATGGACGGATCTCCCGCCCAAGAATCTGTCCCTGCGCATGAAGACGTTCGTATAGTTGCTTTTATGTTTTTGCCTCGATCTCTTTATAATTTGCTTTGTAAGAAATCGCGCTCCAGTGCCAAACTCTTGTGCATGCGTGCTATCCAGCCCCACTTCAAAATTTCACTCTTATTTCACTTTTTTCTTTCACACTAGTAACTCTTTTTTGTTTGTATCTTTTCTTAAATCGAATTGTTTCCGATAAAAGTCAAAGGAGATTTCATAAAATTTTTAAAGCTAGAGTGGCTTCGTTCAGAAACCCTAAAACTGACTCGTGGTTCATTTGCCCCCTTCGTGCCGTGCCTTGCCCTTCACTCTCAGCCGGCACCTGAATGGCCGCTTTACGTGAGGTTGCGAACAACAGGGAGTCAAGGTAATATGTCAGAACCAAGCACTAATTTCGCTATATAAATTCAACGAACATAATTTTACAGAGTGTCACTTTGAATGAATTTGCCGTTTCGCCATTCGCTAACAGTGGAAGGCTTGGGAAAGATTTGTTCCATTTTGCTGTGGAACTGGAGAAAGCCTAGCTATTTTTTAGTTTAATGTACAAATTAAACGATTTAATTAAATATAAATACACCTACGAACCTTCCATTTAAACGCTGAAGCCTAGCGTAAAAACTTCAAGTGGCAACGAGCTGACAATATTGGACACTGTTTGATACACAAGGAAAGTAAAAAACGGCATTATGAATTGTATTTTTATGACGGGTCATTCCAAAGTAAAAATGTAATTCTCCTCTGGCTGACGAAACAAACAAGTTGCTGTTGGGCAGAGCAAGGTCAGCAGTTGCCGCCGTCACTTTGTACTTTTTACTGTTTTATCGAAGAAATTCCTGATCAACCCTGAGTGTTATTTATGTCTATTAGTAAAGACCATAAAAAATGATTTTTCTTTACGAAAAAATCCGATCTAGAGTTAATATTTGAGACGCCAGTGGGACCAGCTCTACTGTAGATGCAACTCTCTCTTCTCCAGCGTTCCTCCTCTTCTCAATATTGCTTTGCAGGCTTGTCACCCCTTCATGATCGCGTATGGTGCATGTATGTTTATTTTTGTCACTTTAGATACACTGTGAAGGGGAAAATGAAGCAATATCAGACAAGTGCAAAAATGTAGGATGTACTACGTGAAAGCAGCAAGTCAAATTGTCAGTCGTTCGCAACCAGTAGTACATGTTGATCTGTGAAAGCGCTCAGCGTCAATTAATTCACAAATAATTGGGGCTGTATACGGGGTATCCCAAATCTTTCTACTACCTCTTCATGTGAATATACGAAAGTTTGAGACAAGGTACATTCAAATTTCGAAAAACATTCTTTAACCTTTACACAGGCCCCCAAGCCTTGGTGAACGCATGTACCGTGGCTTACAGATGTCGACAATTCTCACAACTTCTGAAGTGCTTTCAAACTGTTCAAAATTCAGTGCAGTAAAGGATTACTTTCATGACACATCACAAAGAGAAGTCAAGGTTTTGACCCTGCAAATGAATGCACGTCAATTTGAGAAGTATATCTATGAGATCCAACAGGAGTGTCATGGGCCGAGTTCTTGAGGACATCACGAGAACAACAATTATAATGTACACGAAGTGAGTTCAGCATAATATTTCGTAAAAATTACAAGGCTTACAGCCAGAATTAGTGACTCAGACTGATTTCTTGTTGAGGTTTCAGTTGGGTTTTTGTTCTCGAACAGTTTTTCTTCTCCGCGTCAAAGCACTACTGTGAGTGTTTCTAAGTTTATCCTCACTAATGACAAGAAACTGATTATTGGTAAAACTGATATTTTGCATTGTAAATACAGTGAAACTAGCTTTACAATTTGCAATCCAAAGCTCTGCAATATTCAAAGACAGAGGAGTTACAGATGTAATGTGGGCACGTTACCATTGACTTGACCTAAAATCGTAAGACTGTTTGGTTCAAGAACAATTTTTAAAAATGTACAATACAAATGGTATAATTCTACTGCGATTATTGACAGCCAAACCGGCAACTCATATGCAAATTTTGACTGAAACGAATACTCACAAAGTCTACGCTAAAAAAAAATTAAAGATTTTGGAACACTTGTACATTAAAAGCTGGTTTCGGTCCTTAATGTCATTATTTCAGTATGCACTATTCCGTCCTGCACAATAAGGTACAATCTCAGACAATCGGTGCCGTAGTCGCGCCGGACAGTCAAAATCTGGCAGAGCCGCGGCGGACCTAATTGACCATTGAGAGCGGGGCGAGGAGGGGTCCCTTCTTGTAGGTCACGGTGACGTCACAAGCAGGCGAATGGAACCCTACTCGGATCTGCTTTGGAGGTACGCCATCTCTGCTTCAAAGGTACGCCAGATCTGGCAGAGCCGCGGCGGAGAGATTTGCCCGCCGCGAGTGCGCCAGATTTGGGACACCTCCGGAGCAGAAAATGACAGGGCTCTGGAGCACAAAGGGAGGTCTCCGGAGTAGAAATGGGAAAGCCCCGGAGCAGAAAATGGGAGGGCTACAGAGCACAAATGGGAGGGCTCCGGAGCACAATAGGTACGCAGCCAATTTGCTGTGATACGCAGCTTAGCATTTTCGAAAATAGCTGCCCTCGTTTTCGACTTTTTGTTGTTTTTCCGCGTTTCTTTACCGTTTTTTTCTTGTCCGCGTTGCTCTTCGTCACGTTGGCGTTTATGTTGTTGTAAGTTCCTCGTTTTCAGGTTTATATTTCAAATCTTCGTGCGGATGCAGTCAACCACTTTCAGTGTTTGGCTCTTTTCGATTTACTGAGACATCGTTAACTATTGATGGAGTGGTTTTTGTGATTAATTCTGGATTTTCGAAACAAAAAGTATATAATCCGAATAATTCAAACGGACTCAGGCACCATCACTACGTCAAAATACTTTATTAATCGCTGTTTCTCGACTTCTCATTTTTTGTGTACTAAACTGAGACCTGTTGTGAAGACGGATATGGTTGGAGTTATTGCCACTCATAACGGGAAGTTCCACTGTGACGAAGCGCTTGCTTGTTTCATACTAAAACGTCTCAACCAGTTCAGGGACTACACATTACTAAGGTTAGTTGCGCAACTTTCAAACCAGTGTTTGATAGCTAGCATGGAACGAGGTCAAATCTACCCTGTATTCTTACCTTAATCCAAAGCATTTGCATCATCTCAAGGTAAATATTGTAGAGTAATTCATCGCACGTGAAGATAGGCGTCACTGCGGACGCTGTCGGCGTCTCGCTGATTGAGCGCTCTTTCGTACCTCTTGCCGTCTGCTGTCTCTCCCATGCACGAATTATCTTGGTCGGACGCAATGACGTCCAGTCTGTGCATGTGATGAATCGCCCATACCTTTGGTAGTGTAAGCGGGTTAATGGCTTTTTGGATCGATTTATACCTCAGATGTGTCTTATGCAGCTCGAAATATGCGTAATTGATTGAGTCTTTTTTGTGCGTAATTACGAGTATGCGCACTGGAGGTTTATTTAAATCCTTAATATATGTTGATAGATACGGACGCAGAACCTGCTGTTTTGATAGAGGTTCTCGTCACATCTTTATACCAGATCGAAGAAGCTTTGCGCGCTTGAACGTTTTATTGCACACAATTCATTTTGAGGATATCTCCCGTAATGTCATCATTTTATTACTATGACATTTCAGGACACGGATCCTGCTGTACTTGCCAAGTGCGATGTTATCGTTGACGGGGAGATGTATACGATCATTCGAGGAAACGATACGACCATCACCAATGTAAGGTTTTGCTTTGCATGCTGTTAAGTTTGAGTCTCCTACAGTAATGAAGATCACACAATTAATGTTAGTAATTCCTTAATAGTGCTGTTTTCAGAAAGTTCAATGAGACGATGCAAACATTGGGCATACTGGATTTTAACACTAGACTCAGTTCAGCTAATCGTGCTGTTTTCAAAGAGTTCAATGAGACGATGCAGACATTGGGCATACTGGATTTTATAATAACATTAGACTCAGTTCAGCTGATTGATCTACGCCCATTATGGAAAGCAACTGATTGCAGAGGTAAGCATTGTCGTCAGGGTTAACCTTTCTTATTCAGTTTATTATCGTCAGATACTTGGTTCCTCCCACGACGATAAGATGGTGCATATGTTTTTCGAAAGCTTTACGGAACGTTTGTCGAAACCATAGATGCTATCGATAACGGCATACCACAGTATGATGGCACACCCAGGTAAGAGGCTTGTCAGTATCCATTTATATCTTACTTGAAGTTTAATTTTTTTGAATAACGTTTTGGATGAGAATCATGCCTTAATCATCAACTTATTGCTGATTTCTTCCTATCTATATTGATTTGGCTGTGTGGTTTTGCTGCTATATGAATTTGAAGATATCAAACATCTGGGGGACTTTCTTTCGTGTCAATCATCTGAATCCCTACTGAAATGAAACTGACCCCAAGCCCGACGAGAGGTTTCAACAAGCTATAGATCTTGTTAGAGGTTAGTCTGGGTGAACCGCAGTCAAGGTGTTGGCTGTTTGACATCACCCATGCTGTGTTTCACCTTTGATTGCATGTTTCTCGCGCAACTGCGTTTGTGCGGTGAGACCCGCGTGCGCGGAATGTCTTGAGTCAGCACGGTAACACAGGTCATGCTATTATCATGTATAGTGCAGCTTTGAGATCACGCTAGATTAGGCGATTCTAAAATGCTGGTTCTCCTAAAGTGATCATGTAGTGTAGCATACCGCGCCGTTGTGGCGAATGTGTGGTGGCCCGCTTGCGAGATTTTAGAGAAGACAATAGATGAAGTGCCGCAGGTAGACATTTCTAAACTTTCATGGGATCTGCATGTATAGCTTCACACATCAGTGGAAGAATCGTTCATTTGTCATCCGACGGAATCTCATGGAAAAAACATTTTTTTTTCAGTTAGAGGAAGAAAAGGGTTTAGCATCTCGAAGAATGACTTACATGATTTATGAAGGTATAGGGCATTTGAAAAATCGCGACGATGGCGCAACCGCACGCGACACGCACGCCACCTCCTGAAATCGCATTTTCTTGATTTTCGTCTCCAGTAGAATGGGTTTCTTGCATACGTATGATAATATTTAGACACTGGAAGTGATTGAGCTAAACGTTGAGGTGATGCCTTCTTGTATGAGCGTTTTATGCTCCTAAGGGCGCAAAGTCCGCAGCAAAATCCATCGTCCCGATCTTATAAATGTACTATATGTTATGTAAATTTTCCCTCTTTCTTCAGCTACACAAAAAATAGAATTTTCAGACAACTCGTCAGGTACCCATCGGACACAGGCAATTCCAAATAATAGTTTATCGACATTTGACAACAGGTGCGCTTTGATTGTTGAATAAGTTCCGTCTTTAACATCAATTATAATTTTTTAAACATAAAATACAAAATTGTTTCTCAGTAATTTTGCGAAATCCTTTGATAGAATGCGAAGGCTCAGAAAAGGATAAATCAGTTCTAATTATTGATCTTGGACAAAGTCCTGTGAAAATTCCCGTTATACAAACCGTACTTTAGATTACCGTTGCCAAAAATCTGACGAGGCTTACGTGATGAGGAGCTTTCTAATTGACGGATGCATATTTGTGCACGTGACAGGTACCTCTGGAATTTCTCATGTTTTTTGCCAATCTCTTCATTTTGTGGTATTTAGGGTTTATCGGAGGTAACAAGACATTCGAAGGAGCTCTAGCTACACCACCGGCAGTGCCGCTTTTCAAAAAAGCGTTTTAAACGCAATAAAGCGCCGGAAGTGCCGCATTGCTATAACTTCTTTCAAATTACTTCCACAGAGTTCTGATTTAAATATTTAGAACCAGCACTATCTGATGCATCAGAAAAACTGTTTAAAAATTGAAAATTATGAAATTTTTCTGTGCCGTAGGGCGCAATAAACGCGATATTGCGTCGGAGGTGCCGCATTGTCATAGATTTTTACAATACTACTCTTTTTGATTTTTGTTATTGTATTTGGATTCAGCGCTGTTTTCTCTATCCGATAATCTATTCAAAGTCTGAAAAAATCAAAATTTTCATGTGCCGCAGGGCGCAATAAACGCGATTTTGCGTCGGAAGTGCCGCATTGATATCACTGCCTTCATACTTGTCCCAGAAAAATTTTGTTTACAGTGTTGTCATCAGAGCCTCTTAAGCTATCCGCCAATATGTTTAAATGTTCAAAAACATCATTTTTGAGTGAATTACACCCTCTAAATCCTATTGGTCTCTTTTCCGCACTGATAAGCTGATAACAGTCTCCAGAGTTATCGTACAAGATTTTGAGCGACATATTTGTAATCAGCGCTTTCCGGGCTATCCACTGATATGCCTAAAAACCTAAAATTCCAAAAAAATATTTTTCGTATTTTTTTGGTCCCTCGTATTGGTGTTATTAGCTAGGCTGGCTCCGGCCCCTGGCTTCCGTGACCTACCGGTATCGATTTATCTTATCAATATCGCTTCAGTACTACAATGTGGAAGCAGTGCTTATACGTTAACTTCCACACTTCAAAAGTGTGGTACATACTGAAAATTGAAATTCAAAATCATGAACTTCAATTTTTCAAATTTATTGAAATTTGAAAGCTACTCTCAATCTGTTCAAAAACTCTGAGTTACTGTATAAGTTACAAGTTCAAGTTAAAACTCCAAGTTTGAAAGTGTGATACATACTGAAAATTGAAATTCAAAATCATGAAATTCAATTTTTGAAATTTATTGAAATTCAAAAGTTACTCTCAATCTTTTCAAAAACTCCAAGTCACTGCATAAGCTACAAGTTCAGGTTGAAATCCAAGTTCAAAGATGCGATACATACTGGAAATTGAAATCCAAAATCATGAACTTCAATTTTTGAAAAAAATACTGTTATCTAAACCCCATAATCCGCACATAATGTGTATGCTTGAGTAAAATCCTATTTAAAATGTATAAACGGTGTAGCCTTTCACTATCAAGAGTTGTCGCTTTTGTTTCTTTCCTTATTGGGGCTATCAACTTTGATTAAGTGCACCTGCACTCAGAGCTCTTTCGAAGCATAATTGCATCTAGAGCCAGATCCTGGCTTCTCAGTCCAAGATCGGCAAAGAATTCAAAGTAATCTGGTCGAAGTAATTAGTTTTTTCAATGGTTGAGCTATGAAACTCCTGCCAATGACGCCATAAGTGTGCTCGTATGTGTTCTCTTCGCATACCGAAAAAATTTTGGAATCAGATTTCTGTCTATGACAATTAGCTCGTCCCACACATCAATAGATACCCAGCATGACCTTCAACATCAACAGATCATTATTATAATCGGATGATCTGACATCTGTTTGTGAGCACTGGAACTTTCAAGATATTTTCATGAGCTTTGGGCGTCGTTGACTCAATGTTATTTTATAGTTGTACCTAGACGTAATATCGCGCAAGCTTTTTCAGATTCCTCAACTGGAGCTATTGAGAGCTGTGAACTGTGTGACCTCTAACCGTTCGTGGGCACCATAATCGATTTCGCGTTGCAAGTGATATTAGTCAGTACTGTTGTAAACGTATGATATTCGGTCAGTATATTGCAGTCTCAGACTCACACAATAAACAGATGAATGCTATCATTTTTTGTTTCCAGATTTGAACGATTACGAATTACAAAAAAATTGCCACGGAAAAAAATTTACAAAATTGAAAAGGTTACAGATCACAATTCATTTGAAAAACCATAAATTCTGATTTTGAGTGTCACTGTGTCATTTATCTGAAACGGGAATGTTCAAGAACTCGAACTCGCGAAATTCGCCGTCGATGGCTGAAAATGGAGTTTCACTTCTAAATCTATGCAATTCATTTGAAAAATCATAAATTCTAAATTTGTGAGTCACTGGCGTGTATTATGAAACGGGAATATTAGCTGAAAATGGAGTTTCACTTCTGTTTATGCGATCCATTTGGAAAATCGTAAATTCCGATTTGTGAGTCACTGGCGTATAATATGAAACGAAAATGTTCAAAAACTCGCAAAATTCGTCGTCGATGGCTGAAAATGGAGTTTCACTTCCGAGTTTATACAATTCATTAGAAAAATCACAAATTCTGATTTTGTATGTCACTGGCGTGCAATCTGAAACGGGAATGTTTAAGAACTCGCAAAATTCGTCGTCGATGGCTGAAAATGGAGTTTCACTTCTGAATTTATACAATTCATTAGAAAAATCATAAATTCTGATTTTGTATGTCACTGGCGTGCAATCTGAAACGGGAATGTTTAAGAACTCGCAAAATTCGCCGTCGATGGCTGAAAATGGAGTTTCACTTCTAAATCTATGCACTTCATTTAAAAAATCATAAATTCTGATTTTGTATTCATAAGCCATATACTCGCTCCGAAAACGAATTTTGCGAGTTCTTAAACATTCCCGTTTCAGATTGCACGCCAGTGACATACAAAATCAGAATTTATGATTTTTCAAATGGATTGCATAAATTTAGAAGTGAAACTCCATTTTCAGCCATCGACGGCGAATTTTGCGAGTTCTTAAACATTCCCGTTTCAGATTGCACGCCAGTGACATACAAAATCAGAATTTATGATTTTTCTAATGAATTGCATAGATTTAGAAGTGAAACTCCATTTTCAGCCATCGACGGCGAATTTCGCGAGTTCTTAAACATTCCCGTTTCAGATTGCACGCCAGTGACATACAAAATCAGAATTTATGATTTTTTAAATGAAGTGCATAGATTTAGAAGTGAAACTCCATTTTCAGCCATCGACGGCGAATTTTGCGAGTTCTTAAACATTCCCGTTTCAGATTGCACGCCAGTGACATACAAAATCAGAATTTATGATTTTTCTAATGAATTGTATAAATTCAGAAGTGAAACTCCATTTTCAGCCATCGACGACGAATTTTGCGAGTTCTTAAACATTCCCGTTTCAGATTGCACGCCAGTGACATACAAAATCAGAATTTATGATTTTTCTAATGAATTGTATAAACTCGGAAGTGAAACTCCATTTTCAGCCATCGACGACGAATTTTGCGAGTTTTTGAACATTTTCGTTTC